TTTTATATAAAGCACATTAGTAATAGATGTAATATATAGATTTTAGCAAATATATATTTGTATAGCATTAGCTATTGACTAGCAATATTTGTATATAGGAAAATAAAATAATTATTGATTGTTTTTATTATGAAAATATTGATACTATATAAGTTATATCAGAGTTTTTTGAGATCCTACTGCAAGGGCATTAAACACCAATTAATTCAGATGAAAGCTGCAAGTTGTAATATATATCGCAAATCTAGTTGGGAGCAACCAAGTTATAAATATAACCTGTACCAACCAATATACAAAAGCTTTTATATAGAGATATAGAAGACACAGCATACTAATTCTAGTTCAACATATAAGTGCTTTCCAACTATATATCAGTGTAGCAAATAAGTTGCACAAGAAGTCGCCTAGTAGAAGATAGTAAGGCTGTAAACCTTGACTATTGAAGAAACAAACAAGAAAATTTGGGCTGGATCTAAAAATATAGATGAGAGAGTACAGACCAAATACTAGCAGAAAAGTTGGTTAGAGCCATCACTAAATTAGAAAGTACACCATGAGGAGTATAAAGGCCTAGGCCCACACCTGCTTGGGAGTTGCTCCGAATAGGTATAAGATGTGGAATACAACAGTAGATCAAAGACAATTATAGTCCTAGTATAGAAAAATCCAATATATACAGGATTAGGATATATTTGGTAGTCTGCATATGAGAATAAATAAAAATTGTAAAAATACCAATGTATACTATAAAATGTAATATTGGAAATATACAATAATAAAGTTCATGGTCAAAGATGTCGCTAAAAAAAAATAAAAAAAAAAACATTATGATTTGATCTGAGTTATTTTTCAATCAGTAGAGATTAAAAAATAACACTTGTGAATTCATAATTAACAAATTTCAAAAATGACGCGTAACATATCAACCCATTAGAGCGCTGCTGCTATTAGTTTTAATTATTCAGGCAGGAACGAATCTTTGGGTGATGCCAGGTAAGTTATTGACATATATCGTTTTTCAATTTCACCGATTGAAAAATGAGCCATGACGATTCTTAATGCAGATCGCTGAGTACTTACTATAAATTTATTTTCTTCGTGATAGTGCAATATAAAGAGTATTCATTAATCTAAGTATTTATGTACCGTATATCTCCGAATATAAGCAACCCTCAGATTTTGGCACAAGACTTTGGCAAAGGTTGTTATGTTTTACTAATAAAATTGCCCCTGAATATAAGCAACCACCTCATTGTTGGCTCTAAAAATTGGCCAATTTTTGGTTGCTTATATTCGGAGATATACGGTACGTAAAATTTTCAAGTTAATGAGAATATATACTGGTACATTTACTATTTAATTTCGAATAAATTAAGATAAATTTACAATTTAATGAGCTTTTGCAGAATTTATTAAGAGAATTATTCGATCCTTAAATTCTAAAATCTTGAGCATTACTACCATTGCAATACAAAGAATATAAGGTCAGAAAACTAAAAAATTATGCTCTCAATTGGTGGAATTCATGAACATCGAAATTTGATAGTTGGAATTTAGTGAAAAATCTAAACCCATATTTAGTTTATACAATTTAAAAATTTTTCTTGCAAATTTTTGTCGGATATCCATCCAGATTACTTATTTTAAATTACTTAATTATAAACAAAAATCCGGATTGGCAAGTCAAAATAAAAATTAATGATACAAGAACCAAAAAGTACTACTTTGTGTGACCTAAATACTCATTAGTTTATTATATGCAAGAAAATAAATTGGAACAATTTCTACGATCTTAATAAAAATCATCAAAATCGTGCAAATCCTAAACTTGTAGAGACAACTATAAAGTTAAGATGTATCCTAGCTAACTTCAGGCTTTATATGTCCCAAGAAGACTTCTCATTGCACAAATTGATGGTTTGTTCATCGCCGTTAGAATTGTTGTTTCGGATGCCGATGGGTTAATAATATCATAAGCGAACATGTCAGTTGGTCGTCTGTGTAAAAAGTTATACTCGATAAGCGAGTCAACTTTATTTATACCGATCAATTGGATCAGATCATCTTCAAGGATAAATTCTGGATTCGCCACAATGGCTTCCATGGTTTTAATGAAATCTGATCTATTCCAAAGTGGGGAATTACGTTTACTTGGTGATTCAAGAACTTCAGGGTAAAAACCACGTTCCAATCGATTATATTCTTGCAGGTATACAGAAAATTCTGTAGAATATACTATTATTAGCATTAAGTCATTAAAGTTAACAAAAATGCCAATCATAACAAGTAAGTTTAACACGTACCTTCAAAATCTCCTTTATGAATTTTGTATTCATCAACATACTGATTGATAATAATCATTCGTGTACCGGTGATTTCATAGACGTGATCAAATCGGCCTTCCAACTCCTTATGAACATCGGACCCTGTTCCAGCCGACAAATATCATTATATAAATACTATAATATATATATTATAACTTGAAGGTTCAATAAGAAATATACCATGTCGAGGAAGCACATGCTTGTAAAAGAATTCTTCAGCTTCCTTTCTACTTAAATCACCAACAACATATGATGTTGTGTGTGGAACATGCAACACTGCGGTAACAGATGTGAGTATAGAAAAATGTTACTACCAAATACTATCAAATCAACTTACTTTTACTAATCCATTGTGAAAAGAATGAATCGGCAGTGGTAAGCACTACATGAAAGTTTTTTTCTTGTTTAGTATTTTTCACCAGCCAATCAAGAAATGACTCAAGAATAATTGCTCCTTCCGCTGAACTACAAAGTTGGCTGAACTTATTTGCCTCATCAATTATTAAAATTGGTGGTGGCACATTTCGTCCTTTCCAAAAGGACCATCTTGGAAGATGGTCTTCAATCATGCCAAGTAATTCAGCGATTTCTTTAGCATTCTTTTCAGAAGGTTGCAACCTAAGATCTACATCTGCTGACAAAGTGTTTAATAATTTTGAGTGAAGTTTCACGCCCGTTTGCATTCCTGACAATTTATCCTTCGTTCGCTCAAAAAATGAATAAAATTGCTCAGATATTGTATAGTACAAATTCGTCGGTGTGCTAAATTGTCCACCACGGAGATCGATAAACAGAGGGTTGAAATTACCCCTACACACTACTTCGCGAACCAAAGAGGTTTTCCCGCTGCTTGGAGGTCCTAAGATGACATGAATTCTTGGAACATCATAATTAAATACTCTCGTGAAATCAGCAAGCTCTCGTTTTCGATTAAAGAAAGTTTCATTACAATCACTAAACGTCGTAAAACGAACAGCACAATTTCTTTCAAGTGCAATTGGTAAGCGTTTTAAGGATCTAATTACGAACATGATTCAAAATACCGATGCATATAATTTTGCAGATCAAAAAAATTTAGTTTTTTAAGGGTCATTTATGCATCATATGCAATAAAATCCAGAAGTTAGCAAATCGCAATAAATGATTACGTTAATAATACATCCTCTTAAAACAATTGTTAAAGTGAAAATCATCCAGGACGGCCCCCAAAATTGCCGTGACGTAAGATTCGTTAGTCCCACTTA